ATTCTCTCTTTTTGTATTGTTTGGAATAGTTTCAGAAGGAATGGTACCAGCTCCTCTTTTTATGTCTGGTAGAATTTGGCTGTGAACCCATCTTGAGCTGAACTGTTTTTGGTTGGTAGGCTATTAATTGCTGCCTCAACTTCAGCCCTTGTTATTGGTCTATTCAGAGATTCAACTTCTTCTTGGTTTAGTCTTGGGAGGGTGTAAGTGTCTAGGAAGTTATCCATTTCTTCTAGATTTACTGGTTTATGTGCACAGAATTGTTTTTAGTAATCTCTGATATGTTGTGTTTTCATTTTCATTTAGTTCAAAATATTTTCTTATTTTCCTTGTGATTTCTCCTTTGATTCATAGCCTAATTGGAAGTTTGTTGCTTAGTTTCTTAATATTTTGGAATTTTCCATACTCTTTCCACTATTGATTTCTAATTTAATTCCATTGTGATTTAAGAACATGATTTACATAAATTATTTTACATTTATTACTTTTCGTATTGATCTCGTATCTAATCTAGTGACCCTGACAGCTTCACTTATTTATTCTAATTGTTTGCTTTGGCCCCGAGGTTGGGAGCAAGGTTATGAACCCTACACTACTCCCAGCCACAGGGGGAAGAATGCAGTGTTTCATCATTAAGAGCAACATTTCATCATGTTAGACATGGATATCTTGTACATACACATTATCTGTTTAAATAAGTTCCTTTCATTTCCTAATGCTGAGACATTTTTATCATGAATCGGTATTAATTTTCTCAAACCTTTTTTTTTCTAAATCTGTTGAAATTTTTTTTCTGTTAATATGGTAAAATATATTGATATTTAAATGTTAAATGGCTCTTGCATTTTTAAACTAAACCTCACTCAGTGATGCTATGTTATCCTGATATTTTGTTTTTAATTTTGTATCTGTATTCAAGATACATATTGGCCTATAATGGTCTTTGTTGGTGATGTCTTTGTCAATTTTGGGTATCAGGTGTATGCTTGCCTCAAAATAAAAAGGCAGGAAATGTTCCCTCTTTGTTTTCTGGAAAAGACAATGTAAGATTGGCATCTTTTAAAGTGTAGGAAGAGTTATTAGTCGTTTTCTTTTAAAAAGAATATAGGACTGCTCAGGTTCACCATTTCTTTTCTGTTTTTGTTTCAGCAAGTTGTGTTGTACAAGGATGATGGCATAACATTCTCCTTTCAGCATGACAGCATGAATATCAGCTCCCTGTTAAGTTTCCCAAACCAGAGAGCTTGCTCTAGCTTATCAACACACAACTGTGGCCAATGGGCAGGTCCAGAAAAGCCATCTCAACCTTCTGGGGAAAATATTATAGGAGTGTGTGACAACATTTCACTTGTGGTTAAGTGTATGCTTAAAGGTTGTTGTTGGTTTCTAGCAGGGTGGGGGTATATTTTAGAGTGTGTGAGGCATTCTTTTGCTAAACCTATCTTCTGTGCTAACATAGAGTGGAAAATATAGTTTTCTAGGAGTCCCCAGCTTCCAAGGAAAACTGTTGTACATGTTTACACTGCCAGGAGTAATCAGGAGTTGACCTTATTTTGGTTGGTAAAGAACCGGTCTAGAAATCACTTCCTCCAATCACCCCAAATACTCAGGCCAAGAATTTCCTGGATGCTGTTAAAATGGTGCATGAGTCAGAAAATAACTCTCTAGGATCTGGAAGTGATGCTAGCAAGGTCAGGTTCAGAAACAAGTGCAGGCCAAGCCATAAGTCCCTGAGCTAAGCTCACCTCCTAACAGAGGGCACTCTGACCGGCGGCCCTGCCCGACCATCCCATTTATGAAGCAAGGACCTTCTAAGTTTCCAGGGTCACTGAGTGAGCCATCTCTGGCTGGAACAGGGCAAATGTCAAGGCAGTAATTTTAGCCACCCATTGATCCTGGGTCTCTACTGAAGTATTAGGGCCTGTTGGTGACTTCTCGCCTGGTGGCCACAGCCCTTTCTTACCCTGCTGTGGTTTCTCTGTGTTTTCCTTTCTCTTTCCATGTTTTCTCTCCCTCCCCATCATCCTTTCCTTCTCTCCCCTCCTCCCCCCCCCACTCTCTCCACTTTCCCCTCCCTCATGTCCACTCTTCTTTCCTCAATGTTTCCTCCAATGTTTCTAGAAATCACTTCTTCCAATCACCCCAAATACTCAGGCCAAGGATTTCCTGGAAGCTGTTAAAATAGTGCATGAGTCAGAAAACTGAGTTCCCCAACATTGGAGGAGGTGATTAAGAAACATTTCTGCCACCCTCCATCCCTACTGCCTTTCCTGTCAGAGAGTAGAACCCTGGAGGTGGTTGCCAGGACACCAGACTGAAATGGGGACAGAAATGCACACTGGGAGATTTGTGAGCGGGAGTAAGAATTAAACTAAGATTCACATCAATAGATGTTGAACCACAGATCTTTTGGGTTCAATCAACCTTTCCTGTCTGGGAAGGAAGGACCAATAGTTCTTTCCCCTTTAAGGGGACTTGTGCTTGGGACAGAGAAGGGCTACATAGCTATACTTTTCATGCTATGCACGAAGAAATCGAGAAAGAAGAAATTGCAAATTAAATTTAAATCTAGATTTTAAAAAAAGAAGAAAAGGGCAAATGTCTTTCCAGAACCACAGGCTCCACTTCAAAATGGAAGTTTACAGGCATGTGATAAGGAAGTCACAGTTTGAACCTTCAGAGCCCCTGGTACTCTTGTCAGTGGTGCCCTGGAACAAAGAAGAAACCAGGGATCTTTGTAAAATTCACTGAGAGTCAATTTCCCTGGGGGCCTTTGCCAATGGGCAAATGACACAAACCTGCAATTATGTAAATGACCACTAGGGGATCAGGGAGACAGTGAGTCTTGAGGATTTGGGGCAATAGAACCAGTGTGTGTAGCTAAGAGCAAATTGTGTGTGTATGCGTGTGTGTGTGTGTTTGTCCTCTTAGAAAGGTCTAACTCTTTATCAGAACAATGGCAAATATTATTCAACTACTCTAAAACTATAAAGTCTTGATATCAGATTTAGAATAAAATAGGAAAATTATAAATCCAATTTGCATATCCTCTTGTATTAAACTTCAACTGGTTTCTAATGTTGCATATCTCGAGGCTTGTCCTTGGTGTGACATTAGGAAGGAAATAGTGGTTTTCTGGGCCTCCTGGGTCCCCTGCTCAACTTCTTATTTCTCTCTGTGAGGATTTCAAGTTAGTTGTTTTAAAAGCCTTTAACTATTCATTTGCTCTTTTCAGATAGAAGGAGATAATTACCCTTTTCAAACTATTTCAACTTGAGAAGTTTCTAGGCTAACTGCCTCTCCTGCTTCATTTCTGCCCACTGCCCTCCCTCCCCACCCCACACCATTCAAACATGAGAATTTTTTTCTACCTCAAGGGCAAAGCTGAATTCTCGTGTGCCATACTCCAAGACTCTTTTTTTGAAACAGGGTCTCAGTATGTCAACCAGGCTGGAGTACAGTGGCGTGATCATAGCTCACTATAGCCTCCTACTCCTGGGCTTAAGTGATCCTCTTGCCACAGGTGTGAACCACCATGCCTGGCTAAATTTTTTACTTTTTAGTTTTTTGTAGAGATGTGGTCTCACCATGTTGACCAAGATGGTCTTGAACTCCTTGGTTCAAGCGATTCTCCCACCGTGGCCTCCCAAAATGTTGGGCTTATAGGCATGAACCACTGTGCCTGGCTCCAAAAAAGATGTCTTTAAATATCCTTAAAACATACCCAGTTTCCTCATACCAGTTTTGCATGGATCTTTTTCTTTTTAATCAGGAGAGTGATTCCAGACAACAAAATTCTTACTTTCCTTCTTACTACTGCTTTTAAATTTCAGGCTGTCAGTGTTATTCGCTGCAAACAATGTAAAAACAGGCCACCTGTTAAAACGATATTAGTACAGCGCTTTCCCCTCAGGCCTAAATGTTTGCAATTTTTTTCCTCTGGATATTTAAAATTTCATTTTAAAAGCACTTGAATAAATGAGTTTTTAACCAGTGTTGCAACAATGGGTCTTCTTCCATGATCACAGATTCTTGGGAACAGAATTGCTCAGAAGCCAATGGGCAGTGCAAAATGGCTCGTCCCCTGAGCCAGCTCATTTATTTTCCTGGGACAATGAATGCTCTAATCACAACATATTTGGCTTCCTTTGTAATACTGGAATTCCTTAAGTGTCCTTGGACACTTTCCAATCCCCAAATATTAGTCATGCCGTTTGACACTCAAACAAATCCCAAAGTTGACACCCTTAAGCACATCCTTTCCTATTTGCATGGAAATTAGATTTTAGAAACATTAAAATAAAAACAGGCTTCATAGCCTGTGTCCACAAAATGCCTCTCCATCAGTAAGTGGACTGTAAACTCTGCTTCCAAATAGTGGCTTTCAATTCCATTAGTTTCTGATACTTGAGAGGCTAAGCAGGAATTGCAAGCTGGCACACCTCAGTGTCCATGAGGAGCTTTCCCTCTGTGCCAGCTTCACTGGTTTTGGCTTTGCTTAGGTCTGAATGGAAGCACCTTTTGATCTTTTACTTTGGTCCTTTTATTATACATTTAAAAAATTAAATCAATTTTCCATCTCAAATTTGTAGGATACCATAATTAGTTTTTTTAATCATAAGTGAAAAAAAAAAGCTCCTAAGCATCTTTGGCAATGCACAGAAAAAGTCACTGCCTTCATTGTAGGCCTTAAGAATGATCATATCTCATAATGATATCCTGCCATTTTTAATTAATTTACTAGTTAATGTTTTATTGAGTACTTACTATGTGCCAGATGCTGGAGACAGACAGGTAAATATTATGGTGCTCATCGTGGTTGGGAAAGAGAGGCCTGTGAAGAGATCTGAATAGAAAGCAACGTATATTATTGGAAAGGTGAGGGGTGAGTTAGGTCTGTAGGAGCAGAATGGCTAACTTTTGAGGGGAGTGAGGGAAGGCTTCCCAGAAGAGGCGCCACTTGAGCTGTGCCTTAGAGAAGGAGCAGTAGCTACCTAGCAGGAAGTTGGGTGTAGAACGTGTGAAAGGGTAAGATTCATGAAGGACTTTAAATGCCAGGCCAAGAAGTCTGGCATCATCCTCACGTGCATTCGGAAACCTTTACTGATTCATTGCTTGGTTGGTCCCTGGGTGCCAGAGAGACAGTGGTGAGCTGGGATCTTCCACTGATTCCTCAGATCCACTGGGCGCCCTTCTCTGACCTGGGAGGCTGACCACATCGCAGGCCCCCTGCCCTCTGGCTGCTGTTTAGAGGTGGCAAATTAGATGCACTAGCAAGAGACCAGAGGGTGAAGGGAGAGAGCAATGGCTATTTATCACCCCAGTCCTCTCCCCTGTGGGCCAGCTGTGCCTGAATCACTGCTGTGCCTGGTCAGCTGTGTCTGGCCACTGCTGCTGGCAGACTGCCCTCTCCAGACAGCTCTCTCTGGGTCAAGGAAATCGCTGCCTCTCAGGACCCTCCAGGCTAGGTTGGCAATGGATCCCCACTGATACTCATCCTGGGTGTCACACCATCTTTGCTGCTCCCCTTAAACTCTGCCCACATCCTTGCAAGTAGTCCCTTTACCAAACTATTCTCAGTTCCTCAACTTGGTGTGTGTACCATTGTCTCTTCCCAGGACCATGACTCACAAAAATAATAAATGAGGTCCCAGCTCTCATGAAGCGCAGCTTGCACTTGCATAAGCAGCAGAAAGACTGGAGCAGATATCTATGTTCTGGAAGAGTCACTGGATGACCGTGAGGTGTAAGACTGTGATGTGGTGAGGGCAAGGGCTGTTGCTGTCATCCTCAAGACAGATGCCGGTGGCCTACATCAGGGAGGAGCCTTGGAGGACAAGGAGGGAGAACCACTTGGCAAGCCAGGTAGGTTTGGTCGGACACAGTGAGTGAAGGAAGAGCCTCACGTGGTGCTCAAGCCCTGGCCTGGGTGACCGGTTACAGGCTGCATTCCTGGGCCATGGAGCCCAGGAGAAAGAGCTGACTGGTGAGCAGAAGAAACCATGACTTTGATGTTGAACACATGAAGTGGTATTGCCGAGGGCACATCCAGGTGGATGTGTCCGGGCGACTCTTGGCTGTGTGGGTTGGCGTGTGTGGGAGAGGCCAGAGTGGGAAATATATCTGGGTGTCATTGGGACCTGGGTGGGTGTGAGGTCGAGGAAGTGGGTGAGATGACCAACAGGGACCGTGTTGAGTGAGCACTGAAGAGTGCCTTCAAATGGGAGAGAAAGGACAGGGAGAGAGCGAGGGTGAGCTCACTTGCTGGGTCATACAGAACTCTCACCAGTGACTCAAGGGCCTCAAGCTCTCCATACCCAGGGTGTCCCCTTTTTCAGGCCACAGGGTGGCAGTCAAGGCCTCAGGCCACCCATGTGTCCAGGGGATGTCACTGAATCTGTCTTTGATGATAAGGTTTTCCAGGTATCCCAGGCACTTCATTCTGCTGGCTGTGAAGATGGTTAAGAAACAGGGAAGACATTTAACATGAGTCTGAATTAACCTCAGTATTCTCAAAATGGGATTAAAAAAAAATAGGATGCCTGATATGTTTGCTGATGTGACTGAGACCACCCAGCTGCCACATGATGGCACTGGGATGGAAACGAAGGTCAGCTCCCAAAGCCCTGCCCCCATACTAGGGGAGCAGAGAACAGGGCAGGGCTGGCAGGGGCTGGCCAGGTGGGAAGAAGGGCCACAGGCATCCAGGGAGAGGTGACTGCTTGAGCAAACAGCAGAGAGGGACACACGGATGTCTTGCTAGGTGGGGCACGGCAGCAGATGTGCCTGCAGGAAGGTGGGTCCCAGGGTGCAGAGCCTCACGTGCCAGCTCGGGTGGGTCCTCCGCCCATGGTCACTGAAAGCTGCATGGGGAGTGTCACTACCTCCTTTGTACTTTAGAAAGACTCTTGTATCAAGCACCTCCCCAGCACAAGGCATGAGAGGTTGACCTCTGACTCCTCCAGTTCAGGTGCCCCTGAGGAGGAGTCTGGAATCCATGAGCCATACCCCACCCCAGCCAGGGGGAGTGGGAGGGAGGGGCTGAGATTTGCCTCCTTGTACTCCCAGGAGCAGGACCTTGGACTGGGGGGTGCAGGGGGCCAAGAGCAGAGGAGAGCTCCACACCAGGCATCTTCCTGATGCCTGCCTCCCGTGTTGCTTAGAAGGTGCCTGCAGTTCCTGGGAGGCTCTGTGGGTTGGGGAGTGAGGGTCCTGGGTGAGACCCTGGGGAGGGAGAGCAGAGCCTGCAACAGGTGAGCTGTGTGTGAGGTAGGCCTGCTGCCAGCCCGAGTCAACAGGGCCTGGAAAAGGTGATCTCTGCAGCTAGAGCTCATGGGTGCTCTCCTGGGGGAACTGAGCTCACAGGAGGGCATGAAGCCCTGTGCAGTGGCGTAGTTAGAAGGGGGAAGGTGCTGTGGGCTGAATTGTGTCCCCTGCAAATTCCATGTTGAAGCCCTAACCCCTAGAACCTCAGAATAGGACTGCATTTGGAGAGAGGGTCTTTAAAGAGGTGATTATGTTAAAAGGAGGCCATTAGGGTGGGCCCTAATCTAGTTTGACTGGTGTCCCTCTGGAACAGAAGGAGATACCAGGGTGCCCACACTGGGGAATGACCAGGTATAGAAGCAGCCTGGGACAGAAGCCTCAGAGGAAACAAGCCCTGCCAGCACCTTGACCTTGGACCTCCAGAACTCAGAAAATGAATGTCTGTTGCTTAAGCCCACCCCTGATTAATGGTGCTTTGTTATGGCAGCCCCAGCAAACTAACACAGAAGGCAAGATGATCATGGGAATTAGGAAGTCATGGCATCTCTCATTCACCACACCTACTGCAGCCATTCAACTCCTGCTTCCTGAATCTCCTTTTCACCCCAAAATAGCAGAAGCTGCTTGAAGGAGGAGAATATTTCTTATGCTTTAGTGCCCTGACGTTTACAAAGAAATAAATCATTCAAGAAAAGCAATCAGTAGACATATACTGATTTATAAAGAATGGACAATGGACGGTTACTGTGTGCATCCAGGGACCTTATGATCCACATAATTTCATTCAGTCCTCAAAACAGCCCTTTCCAGTGCACCTTATTCATCCCTGGGTGGAATAATGCAGAAACGTTTGGTGACTTGCCCAAGTCACAGCCATAAGCAGCAGAGCTGTTACCCAAACCCAGGCCAGCCAGAGTTACATGCCTGCTACTTCCACTATTCTCTGTGCTGAGCACCTGTGGCCTTAAAAAGAAGACAGAGACCCTGTATCCCCTCACCCAGTCTTACAGTGTCACTCACAAGATGAGGTGTCCACAAATGCAATAGTGACAAGCAATGCAGGGTGATACGCCTGCTTGCTGTGTGAATGGTGCTATTGGGAATGGGTTTTGCTCTCAAAAACACCTGGGGAAGTTGCCTGATGGCACTGGGTTGTATAAAGAGATCCACAGAGAGGACTTTGGCCCTGGAGACTTTGCTTTCAGACATTATCCCAAGATGTAGTTTTCTTGGTTCTCAATGCCCAGCGCAGCTTTGCCTTAGCAACTGATTACTTGTCGCTGTTACACTGCAACCTCAGCTAACATCCCCGGTTCTTTGACCTTGGCCTGTAACCTGCCCATCTGTTCTGACTGCAACCTGCCTTTCATACCCCTTGTGGCTTTGGGGCCTCCCACTATGCCCGAGCTCACTCACCAGCTCCTCGGTCTGATTCCAGGTGGAAGAAAGAGGCAGAAATCATTCTGGGCAGGTAATGAACAAGAATAAGGGGAAAGGAGCACCTGTGAGGAACAGAAAGCCAGAGGCATTGAAAAGGGTTTCGGGCACTGAAAACAACTCAGTAATGGCTTTAGCATTGCGATCTACACAATTCCTTTGTCCTTTCCTAAAATCCGTGCACATGCTCAGTCTGACTCATGACCAGCCTTTAAGAAGGCATCAGCACACATCTTATCAGTCAAAATGCACATAAAACAGTGAAGAAGAATTTTAAGTCAAAATTTACAACTCTGAGCTGAGAAAGCACAGATGAGTGAAACCAAAGAAATACAAGAGACATACGTGGAAATGAGGGGTGAGCAGGAGAAACTGGCAGGGAGGGTAGTGTCCCGGATGGAGCAGAACATGAAACAGAAGGAATGCCAGTCCTCACAGGGCAGAAGCTTCTAGTTATTCCTGTGCTATGCTAAAGGTGGCATGGAGGAGGTGGCACCTGCTGTGGGGTTAATTGAGTGATGGAATCAGGGAAAACATAAAATGAACAATTCACACTTGGAGGAAGCTGGAGAAGAGGAGAGACTCTGAGAAATGCCACAATATGCCTGATGGAGCTGGGCTTTTGTCAGACTTGTGGAGGTTTCCAATCTTGGTTTCTGCACCCTCAACTTTTCCCAGGGGGAGTTCCTGGGGGCCAGACCCAAGTGTGGGCTCTTTGCCACAGATATTTTCTCTGGAGACATTCTTGTAACAGGGTTGGCTGGCCGGGTTTTAGGAAAGTGGAGGCCATTGGAGAGCCTGCCCCATGCTCTGCATTTTCCAGATGGGTAAACTGAGCCAGGGGCTGTCAGTGGTCTCTGCCAGCCCCAGCCCTTGCTCAGCTGCAGTTCTGGAGCTCTTGAACTTAGAGACTCAGCTCCTGATCCTTTCCTGAGTCAATGCTGTCCCACATGGTTGTGTATGTTATGAGGGAAGAGGTAAGTTGTTTTAAGGCTACCGTCCAAGAGCAGCACCCCCATATCAAGTGAAGGGCTCTGTTTCTCACACCTGCCCCCTTCTCTGTGGGTTCATCTGTAAGCACAAAGGCGGCAAGTTGATGTAACTTCATTTGGCAACTCTCATTGAGAAGGACGTGGAGACTCCCGGGGGCGGGGTGGGGGGGGGGAACATTCTGCAACGGGTTCGTTATGTCAGCCAGAGACACAGGCTGCAGATAGGTGGCAGGCAGGCCACAGATTTGGCATCCCAATTAGGTCACATCCACTGCTTGATAGACTTCAAGTGTCATTGCAACCTGCATCCTCCTGCCACACCCAGAACATCAGGCACCCTCTCTATGGATGCCTGCCACAGCCAACTCCCAGAGCGGTGTTCCCACTGTCCCTGGCTGACTATCCACAGGACCCTCCCTATTGCTGACTTAGTCTGTGCAGTCTTCACTTCTGATCCCAGCTTCTTGCTCAAGTAAATGGGCAAATGTCTGTAGCACATTTGGTAGTGTCTGCACATAGTAGGCACCACGTGAATTACTATCCATTTTATTACACCACAACCGTTCGTCTTCCTTAATCAACGACACTTGAGTGCCTGCTGTGTGTCAGGTGCTTTCTATGGCTTCTCCCACTTAATCTCCCTCAAACCTAGAAGGTAGATTCAACAATCATAGTTCCTAGTTTACAGATAAGGAAGTTGATGTTCAAGAGGTGAGGTTCTTTGGTCAAGGTCAGGGAACTTGTGAGTGATGAACCAGGGTTTCAACCCCAATCGTGTCTGGTGTAAAGCTCAGGCTATCTCCAAGTTGAATGTTGAACCTCCAACCCCAATTGGGGCATTCTTCCCCGCTCAGCCCTCTATAGCCAGGCTGAGGAGCTTCAGTACTGACTGCTGGTGTGAGCCTGCGCTTCCTGGCCACAGAACACCTACCCTACACTCACCAGGTACTTAGTGTCCTTGTGCTGTTCTAGGCAAACAAAGTCACTGACCCATTCCCAGCATCCTTCCCCACCCCTCCAAACTCTCCACCACTCTCTGGACACAAATGGAAGCCCAAGAATTGGCTGAAAGGTGCTACTATTCCCACCAGCCCACCTTTGTATTTCTGGCAGGGAAATTACCCTTCGTTACCTTTAAATGTGTTTAATGAGGCATTCATTCCTGAATCTTCCATGGAAACTTTTGAAGTAGGAGAGAAAATACCTCAAAGATATGATTTTAGGGGTCTTCACTGAAACTGGGCTGGCCACATGGGAGGCCCTGCTTATTTCAGAGGGAGCCCTGGCCAACTGGCTTCCCCACTCACATGGGCACCTGCTTGACCACCCTGATGTGCAGCATGGTGAATTGCTGTGTGCTCTCAAGTGAGGCAGCCTGGATGTAGACTTGGCAAGTACAGAGGGGAGGGAGAGAGAACGGACATGTTCTCCTTGTGGGAACTCTCTAGAAACATGGCTGTGGCTCCTGGGCCATCCTCCCCCTGCCTTCGTCCCCACCCTGGGAAGGTACACTTACTTCCCTCCTTTCCCATTCGTGGGGTCATACCTGGCTATTTGCTGCCTAAACATGCACCCCAATCTCTAAGCCAACCCAGGAAATATGCCAGCAGCCTTGGCATCAATATCTAGTCACGCCCCACAATTCTGAGCCCCAGGAAAATAACACCTAGTGGGTAGATGCTGCTGACCCCTGACTTTCCCTCTGTATGCTGGCGGGTTTATTATGGAGAACTGGTGGGTAAAAGCCCCAGCTGAGACAGCTTTGAGGGATGTTCTACAGTGTCTTTCAGAGGTCCACAGCAAGACTAAGCTCCACCTGCCTGCAGGGTCACGAGCTCCATAATAGCCTTCCTGTCCCTGCCTCCTCCTCCCTGGCCCCAGCCAACTGGTATTTCCTAGGATCGCCTGCCAAATAAACTGTTCATGCTTGACTGCTTGTCTCAAGTGTATTTCAGAAAGTGCCAAGTCAGGAGAGCTGCACACACCATTCCCAGAATCTCCTGGCTGCCCCCAAGTGCAGGGACGAACACCCCAGGGACGACCACCCCTTGCTGATCAGCCACATGGTTCAGCCCAGCAGCTGGGTCTTCCTCTCTCCCTACACTTCCTTTCCAGCTTGCACCTCAGGCCACCTTCAGGACTAAGGCCTGTTTCCCAGCTGGGGTCTTGCCCACTCAGGTCTTAAATACAGCCCATCATCTGGGGCCCCCTCTTCTCTCCATCTGTCCCAGTGGCAGCCATTCCCAGTGTCAACTAAGGCCCTTGAATCTGTTTGGGCCATGCGACTCGTACAGCTGCAATCTGAGAGGTCCTCATTCTTTCCTTCCCATAGATTGACAAACCTGACCTCAGACAGAAAGAGATGAAATAAATGCCCTGGGCTGAGGCCATTGTGCTTGGTGGAATGACATCAAGAGTAGGAGGCAGACGTCTATGTGCTCCCATCTCAGCACTGCCATTTGCAAGCTGCTCTGCTTTAGGTGAGTTAATTTCTCGGAGATTCAGCATCTTAACACTTAAATGACATGTGGCAGAGATGGCTAACCGTCCCCCATGGTTTGTGCCCCCTCTTCTATAGCACAAAGTGAGATCAGGGCTGCCTGAGCAGGGACTAGATTTCTGAGCATTCCTTACATTGGAAGCAACTGGCTTTTATCATTTAGTTGTCACCGACAACATGAGTAGAAGGGAGGCCTGTCACTTCCAGGTTAGTGTGGTTAAGATACTAGCTTATCCTCTTCACCATCTCTCCCAGCTTCCTCCCAGATGCAGGGGACTCCAGGGTTCTAAGCTTGAGTCCCTGAATTACCATATGGAGGAGAGCTGCCTGTTAACCAGAAGCATCAGCAGTGGATTATTTGAGCAAGAAAATTCATTAAGCTACTGAATTGTGGGTATTTATTTGTTACAGCTGCTGGCATTACCCTAGCCAATACATAATCATATCTCCATGTTGTGAAGAGCTAAAGGGATCATACAGATAGCAGCTACATGTGATGAGCATTTACTGTGTGCCAGGTGCTGTTCTTAACATGAATGATCTGTCTCAGTCCTCAAAGCGAGGACATTATCCACATTTTATAGCTAGGGAAACTCAAGCACAGAGAGGTGAAATTATGTACCCAAGATCACACAGCTAGGAAGTACTAGATCTACAGTAAATCTGTGTTCTTTACCATTAAGCTGAACTGTCTCCCAATACATGGATAGCATTTAATACAGTGCCCAGCACAGAGTGAGTGCTCCACAAATGGGCACAGTCACTGTTAATTAGGCTGAGCAAATGGACACCCCAGGAGCGTCTCCTCCTTGAGGCGCTGATGGGGGTTTCTTGTAGCTTATCCTGTTGCCCGACGCTCCACTGCACCACCTGCTGGTGCCTAACATCAGCTCCCCTCCACCTCTATCCCAGTGCCCTTACTGTTCTGCAGACCCCTGCTCAGCCACCATGCACAGGTGTATCCCTTTCCTCAATATTCCCCTGGGCTGGGCAAAGTGGGGAAATCTGCTCAGAGTCTCCTGATGCCTATTGGAGCCTTTATCTAAATGGAGCTGAGGCACTCACTCTGGGTAGTTGAATGAGACAAGGGCGCCCTCTCTAGTGGGTGTAAGCCTGCGGATCCAGCCTCACCTGAGTCCCCTCAGTTCAGGACACAATCCCTCAGACCTGAACCCTGGCCAGTCATGGCTTCCAGATGCCATGAGTCAACCCTCAACTGGAACCCCTGCCATTGGGGAGCCTGAAATGAAACTCAAGATTTCCTGAAGCTCAAACATCCCTCACAGCCCTTCTCTGCAGCCGACAGCCCCAGGGGGAGCCAGCGAGCTGTTCCCTGCTCCCCTGGCAGAGGCCTCTGAGAGATCCCCTGGATAGCTTCTGGCCTTGGCTTCAGTCCAGCCTCCCCTGGGGCTACTTCTAGCCAGAAGGGTAATAGATTTCTGTCTCGTTTTTGAGGGCCTTTTGTTTGCCCTCCAACCTGGGGCCAAATGCTCCCCCTCAAAAAGAAAAAAAATAATAACAGCCGGGCTTCCAGCCCCTGCACTAGCAGCCTTGTGGAGCGGGATGACCCTGGAGTGAGCTGGCTGAGGTTTCGTTTCTTGTAACTGCCCACCCCTCTTCCCCAAGCCTGGCTTCACAAAGCTTGCTTGTGGGACACCAGTGAAGCATCTAATGTGTGGGATATATGGAGGCAGGGGTGCCTGCCCTGCACTTCCTGGCCTGTGATTTATGAGGTGGGGCTGGGCTTGCCTTCCTCCTCCCCAGCCTGACCCTCCCCAGTCTGGGAGATGCAGAGCCTAGAATTCTTCCCGGTGGAGACCCAGGATCGGGCATCCTGCCGTGCCGCTCCGGGAACCTGCTGTGTCTCTGCCTGCCTGTTAGAGGCTAAAGGAAGCCATGATTTCCATATTATACATAAGGAAACTGAGGCACAGTTAGACAGCTAGACTCGGGTCCCAATTTGGAGAGCCTGGGCCAGCAGAAATTGCCTTCTCTGGAGGCCAGTGTTTCTCACACCTGTACTCATTGGAATCTCCTGGGAGGTGTTTAAAAATGCTGATTTCCAGCAAGAACTCTCAAGAGACTGACTCAGCCATGTTTGGGACACACTGTCTTAGAGGGTGCACTATAATAGGCATCAGACAGCTCCTCAGGGATCATGTTGAAACCTACAGAAGTCCCAGCCCTAGCCTGAGCCTGCACCACATCCTGAATCTGCAGGAGATGGGCCTGGGCATTTTGCTTTTAACCAAGTCTGAGAAACTCCCAAATATGAAAGCCAAAAGGGAGTGTGACATTATAGAGTCCAGATTTCCTGTTTTCTTGGTGAGAAGACTGAAGCTGGGAGGGAGAAGGGGTCTTGGCCAAGGTCACACATCAGGGTGGTTGGGCCTTTCCTTGAGGACAGGAGAAGAGAGGGGTGTGGGCTCCCCAGGAACCTGGAAGAGGTGAGAGGTAGAAAGGAAGAGCTTCACCAACCCAAATGCAGATGAATGTCCCTGCCTCCAGGAGGCTGGGGTTGATGCCTGATCCCAGGCGTCTGTCCCTCCATCACTCAGGGTCAGAAAACCCTTCCCCACTTTCTGCAGTGGGATGGAAGTTCCTCCCTCTAGTTAGTGTCAGGGCTTGGCATCTGTAAGTTTGTCTTGAAGGCTGTGTCAGGTCCCTGGACAGGTATCAGGTCCCTTCTCTCCAGGAAAATACCACAGCCATCCTTGGGTTGCCCAAACATGGACCCAGCCTTTCCCCACAACCTGCCCCTAGAGTCCTGAAGCCCCTGGGGCACCCAGTCCCCAGGCCTAGGCACAGACTGCCTGGGTAGCATGTGGATGTGTATTTGCCTGAATTGAAAGGAAATAGATATATGGAAGGGAAAGCACCAATTAATAAACGATGGTGCTTGCTTTGGAAATTTCCATTGCTTTCAAGTTTCAGAACTTTGCTTTCATGAGAACGGACAGCTGTAACCTGACAGAGGAAGGCTGGATGTGGAGCCAGATGCCCAAGGGCTCACCTCCCAGCCTGGCACATGGATGGGTGTCTTCTGAGTGCTGCCACCCCTCTCTTGAGTCTCGGCTTCCTTATCTGTAAAGTGCAGGTTGCCAACTCTCCTTCACTGAGTCTCCATCACAGCTTCCTGGGAGCCTGACTTGAGATGATGCAGGTGGAGGTTCCCAGCATGCATAGGTGCTGGATAGACAATTGGCACATATGAGCCTAGAAGGGGACACACAAACAATTCTCAGAGGGAGCCCTCCGACTTGTCTACCTGGAGATTCTGCACAAAAATCATACTTTTATAAACAACACGTGTTAGCTAGCAGACGTGGTTGTTCTTTCACTGTTGAAGAAAGGGGTGGAAATGTAGTCAGGTAAATGTTTTTCAGGAAAGATCTTTCTCTCAGTATTTTTTCTGCCCCCAGATGTGTGAAAATTGAGAGAATGAATATAGAATTACCTTCTTGAGGGATTCTTCCCACCAACCTTTACTGAAATTTAACAGACATAGAAAAATGCACAGTCCTAAGTGATTGCTCAATGGGTTTCACAAACTAATCATTAGACATCCATGAAACTTGCACCCAGCTCAAAAAGCTTCTGGCACTAGCATGTTAGAGTCCCTCTTGTCTCAGAGTCTCCTCTCAGTCACGAACCCCCTTCCCACAGAAAGCATAACCACCATCCTGAGTTCTACCAGTCTGCTCTAATGAATAAGTCCTACAGTATGTAGTGTTTGTTTGCTGTCTGGCTTCTTTCCTTTGATGTTACATTAGTGGTTTTAATTTGCCTTTCCCTGAACTTCCTTATTACTTCCTAAGGCCGTTTTGTGAAGTACCTGTTCCAGTCTTTTAGCTAGATGTCTATTGGGATATCTGCCTTTTTATTGATTTGTAGGAGCTCTTTATATATGATGGACACTCTTTAGATATTTAGGTCCTTTTTGAAGACTCCCCACCTCTCACTCAGAAATTTCATCCTTTGGACTTCAGGAACTCTGGTCCCAATGGAAACCCATTGAATACGAGCATTCAAGAGACGCCTCCCCAGTTCTCAATAACAGCTTGATGCTGCTTGCTTCTTCAGAGTGCGCTGTGGCTCTGCTGCACATAAAGAAGTGGGAGAATTTTGTCTCTGGGTTCCTCTTGCCTCTGCCTCCCTCTGTGCCTCTTTTTCACTTTTTGGTAACCTACCAGCTAAGTTCTGTTTCCATGGGCCTTGCTCTCAGCTGGCAAAAAATGAATCACTTTTAAGGTGTGTGGTGACCAGGTAGCTCCATGTCTTTTGGTTTCTGCATGGAGGGCACTATGAGGAGGGTGGGAATGGGACCTCAGGGAGTAGCTGATACCCTCCTACTGCTTGTCACTGCACCTGGGACTCTCCCACTAACGCTTTAATCCTTAACGACAGCAGCCATTTACAACAGGAGGGAACTATTTCCATATTTCAGCTGCGGGCTCAGGTGCCCCAGCATGTACCAGCTGAATCCCAGTTTGCCTATTGCTGAAGTGTGACCAGGTCTGCAGTATTGGGCTGATTTTCATCTTGGCCTCACTTCTCCCTGGGCCCAGAAGGAACAGCATGTGCTGCTGCCTCTGGCTCACTTGCATCCCATAACACCACCCTTTTGATCCTTAAACCTTACGCCAGCCACACATTCCTATTCACAAGTCAGCAGCTCACTTCGGCCTCCACAGAGCGAAGCACCATCACAGAGCTTTACGGGAAGCTTCAAGGGATGACGCCGCAATGTGGGATCACAGGCACCATGGTAGATAGGCTGAGTGAGGGAGATGTTTTTCAGCAGGGGTCAGCTTTAGGGAATCCAGCTGGCTTCAGTGAACTGGCGGGAGGCTGAGCTCCATGCTGTTCCTGGACATCTCTTCTGGGGCTGGATATACATTACTCTCTGTTGCCTAATTGTCCCCAGAGCAGGAAACCAAAAGGTCTTGTGGAAGTTATTGCCTTGACATTTTGACTGAG